CTTGGGAGAGGCTGTTCAGTGTATCTGCTCTCCGTAAGGGGCCTTGCTGGCTCTTCCCTATGCACAGGGCCCTGGACAGTGTGAGCTTCTGAAGGACAGGACTTGTTCTATACCCCTTCCTTGGGAAGAGAGAACCACGGAGGCCACGCAGAGGAATGGGCTGCAATTTCCTTACTAATTGATCTTATTTGTGTCTTGCTAGGGGCAGCACTCCCCCATTCTCAAGAGGAGGTGCAGGAGTTTCAGGAAGGAATAGCTGATCACTGATCTTAATTCTTTTTCAGGTAGTCTACTAGGAAAAAAAAAATCCTTCTCTATCAATCAGGTAATTCTTCCACGTAGGGAAATATGTGAAATGAGTGCTTGAGGGGCATATCTCTCCCAGTAAGGATGTTCTTCTAGTTCGTCTTTCTGGTCTGTCTCATTCACTTGGGAAGATGGATCTAAGAGAACTTCTTTAGAACTTCAGTAGCTGAACTTAACATCCCATACAGGGATGGGCCATTTTTCAGCTTCTGTTAGAAATAAATCGAAGGTGGGAAGGCCTCAAAGGTTTTCTATCAGCTCTGGTCCACCCAGGTGATTATGAAGAGAATGATGAGCACCGAAGTTCACATTAGTGTATCTCCTACTAAGCTGTAAGGTCACAGGACTGAGGAAGTTCTTCGCTTGAATACCTGATTATCTTGCATCTGTTTATTCTAGGCCTTTTAAGGACACTCCCCCCTTCACTTCACCCAATATATAATGAAAGGTACTGGATAGAGATGTATGTCTGTGCCTTTTGTATGTATGCTTTCTCCTTTCCTCCCACCCACATCTGTGAGGAGAAGGTTGAGTCTTCATGCATCTTGAATTTGTGCCTTCTGAATTGCTCTGTATCCAAATGAGAAGATCAGATGACAGTACTAGGATTAATTGTGCTGTAGTTCTTTCTTCTTTCCACTGAAATGTGTCTGCATTAAAGGTTTAAGAAATTCTTGTTCTGCAAGCACCAGAGAGGGATGTGATCAATTTTTTAGGGTAGCCCCAGAACAGCTGCCTCTGTTTAGTTCTGGTATTCTCTCATCCATTTAATCTCTTGTGTGAAGATGGTAGTAACTGAGTGACTTTGTTATTTTTGGTGAGCCAGGGGTGTTAAAACACTGAGGAAATCTTTGGGCATTAAATAACTTACTCTCATGTGGAGAAAATACCTTGTCATATGGCTTATGTATGAAATTGTGATGTTACTGAATTTCACACAGCAGAAGTGAGGCTTTCTGAAAAACAAACTTTGTCGGGTTTAGCCTGTAATAGTGCTAAAAGTACAGTTTCAGTAATAAGGTGTTTAGGAGCTGAATTATTTAGTGGCAAAGCTTTATGAAAAAGAACATCAATCTGGCCAGAAAACTGCTCTGCAGATTGGGGGATGTGTGTGTGTGTGTGTGTGTGCAAGAGGGTGGTGTTCTGAGCAGGGCTACTAGGGGACAACCTAATTGAGACCTCCAGGATGCTGCTGCAGAAGGATGCTTGGACTTCCTTAGAAAGCTGTGTGGTAGCTTCTGGATGAGGAGACCATTTCTGTGTCTCCTTTTTCTACTCTAGATTGTCCCAGGTTCTAATTTCTGCCTCTCTCTGAGAATTCTTTTCTCAGAGCAAACCAAACTTTTTTTTTAATTAGTTTTACTACTAGTCCCTTATTTTTTTTTAGCAGTTAAAATAGATCATGGGTAGATAAGTTTTGTATGCCGCCCCCAATATGTTTGTTAGAAGTCTCTGTTCCTGGCATCAGGAAATGACACATGGTCTTGTATTTTGAACATTTTCTTTGTTCATACCCTTTATGGTTATATGTTTAAAAATAAATATTTTTTGCCCAGGCTGTGACTCAAGCCCCACCTCTGAGTTATTTGTACATACCTTCCTTTTACAACAGTTTAACTAGGTAAGTCCTATGAACTGACATCTCATTGTGAATGACAATTAATATACCAGTCTTCATAGGCAGCATGGTGCTTAAATATTTTTCTGATTATTGTTTATTGTGGTAATACAGTTAAAACTTGCTTTGTTGTGTCCCGGGTGAGTGGATTAGCTGAGTTTTCCTATACTGCCCTGTAATGAAGTCTTAGTTTTGTGGCATTTTCTGTGACCATGACACGCCTTGTTGTTAACATGGTCTCTGTATTTCTTGTACAGATCTCAAGATCTCTGACTGTCCTGTTACTGAAATTCTTTCTTCATTAAGCTCGAGCTGTCATGAACACATTTAAGTAGCTCAGCCTCATGTTAACTCATATAAATGAGGGGAAATCCAACAGAAGTACTCGTGCACGTGATTATTCCTGTCCTTATTTATCTTGCTCTTGACTGTGTTTGGAGGTCCAAAACTGAAGTGCTCCCTGTCCTAGGTTTGTATATTCCCTCTGTATTTCCCTCAGTGACAGTTATCATAATAATCATCGTAGGTAAAAAGGCATTCTTTTCTTAGCCAGTAATGTTTAAAATATAATTACTTCAAAGAATGCCCTTTCTCTCCCATTACAAAGATCAGTTGCTTGTTTGGTTTGAGGAAGGAAGAATTTTAGTGAACATGACTTATGATAAGTAAAACCAGCATATTGAGGTTGTATACTTGAACTCACAATATTTTTTTTTTTTTGTCCTGTTTTGAAAGTCTAGTCTTTCAGCTGGGATAAGGATGCTGTTTGGTAACGTAGGTGCTGCTTTTGTAATGATGAATTCCTTGTTTTACAGAAATCAGACAGGTTTAATAGTCTTGGAACCCTGAAAGCATAGTTCATGAAATTTCTTTTACGGAAAACCCAGTTTCACTAGGACTTTGTCCTAGTTTTCATACCTCTCTGAGCAGTGAGAACTCTAAACTGGTTTGTGGGTTTAACTTACATGCTGAGATTCATACAACCCTTTCAAGTTAGCTTTTTGTCGCCATGTTGAGTGCTGTATAGTGATGCTAAGGACAAGTGGTTTGGTTTGTTTGAATATAAATGGTGCTGGAAAACTTGTTGCTAGGTTTCACTCCTTTTTTTACGTGATTTTGATGGGGAGGTGTTCTTGTGTATGTTTGTGTGGTGGATAATTAATATTAGGAATACCTGAAGATACCCAGTTAATGCCAAATAGGATATTTCACTAGGTTGGTTCAGTGAAACTGCTGTAGCTGTGTTAGCTCAGCAGCATAAAAGTATTTGTGTGCACGTGCACATTGTGGGGTGTACTTCAAACAGCTGTATTGTGATACACACTTAGGGTTGGGTTCTTGAATGAGTATCTTGAATGAGTGACCCTATCTGCTGGTAGCTAATTGAGTGGTGCTCTTTAAAGGAGAATGTGGATGGATGGCTTGGAAGGAAGTTGTGATGCTGTAATTATCCATTCTTAACAGGAAATCTCTCTAATTATGCCAGAGTGTAACTTCCTTGACTTCTTATTGTGAGGGAAAATGTGTATTTTTAAGCAAGACAGTAAACCAGAGCCCTGCCCTGTGTTGGGTAGATATCTGTGAGAAGCTGTGTAAGTGAAAGTAAACTTAAGGGAGCTTGTTGGGAACTTACTTCCCAAGTCCCTGGTGTCAGCTGTTTTGATTTTGTCTAGAGGCTATTTACTAGCACAGATAAAAGTCCAGCTAAAGATTTGCTTCATGTCTGTGCTGGGGACAGCTTCTGTTTCAAAATGAGATGGTATGAAGAGGGTAACTTGTAGAACTGAGGGATAAGGACCATTGCTTTTCCCTGTATCACCCAAGAGATTTGTAAAAACGCTGGGAAAACCAATGTCTTGAGTGTTCTCTTGCCTCTACATGCAAAAGTGTAACCGAGTTGTTTCAGTGATGTGGTGAAACAACTCCTATGTCTGTGGATACTTCTGTGTTCTCCAGTAGAAACAGATTATCCACATTCCTTTTGTGATATTGTAGTACTTCAAGAAATTCATATTTTGTCTCTGGTTTTGGTAGAATTACCTGAAGTTTCTTGTGGCTTTGCTTCTCATTTTATAGTTGACTTAAATTTCTGGAGGCAATCCAGTGTTATTTTTGCTTAGAAATGTTCTGTGTAACTGTAATTATTTCAAATCCAGATAATTGCATTATTACAACTTTCTTTTGAAGTATTCTTTTTTCTCTCTGAGTCCTTCCATGATTCCTTCATCATTTCTTCTTTAGCCAACTTTTTCTTTCTTTTTATTAAAATTCCTTTGGAATATTTGTTTGTGCCTTTTAGTAGAGTGTGAGCACTATCATACTCTTCTAGTCTGCCAGAG